TCCATGACTGCCACCGGTATTTTCCCTTCTGATCAAAAAACACTTCCGGATCAAGTCACGGGTGACGACGAGCATAGCAACGAGTAAACTCACACTGGAAGCGAAGTGGAAAAGTAGTGGATATATAGTGGATTTCTATGTGAATATAGTGGGATATTAATGGGATATAGTGGATGATTAATGATTAATGGGATTATGAGATTAATGGGTTGATATTGAAAAATGATGGGTAAATGATGATACCCTCTGGTTATGACATTGCCAGTTTGCGAACTGGAACATGGCACATAGAAAGTTCGTTGATTTACCCATGAATAGCATGGTGGTTTTCCAGTTCGCAAACTGTGAATGTTTACCAGAGGGTAGCTAGCAGGACATACAGTGAACATCTTCCGAACGAACGCGGATTCAGCATGAAACCGGCTGGCAGCTAGTCGCACTTCACAGGACCAACCATCATTTGCAGCTTATCCATCCATTTCGCTAGTTGATCTCCATTCATTTCTTAATGGGTACCATTAATGGTACCATCATTTTTGCTGCTTGAATCAGCTTAGATTTCAGACTTCTTAAATCCTTTAGGATGCCATTTTTGGCAAATATTTTTTTATGATTTATTTATGATTTGAATACGATTTCCATTTATGATTTTTTTATGGGTTCAAATTGTGGTTATGATTTTTTTATGGTTTGGATATGTTTTTTTTATGGTTTTGGATATGATTTTTTTATGATTTTTTAATGTTTTTTAGTCCTCAGAATCTGGTTTTCAGCTAAAAACTCGAGAAATTTTCGATTTTTTTATGATTTTGCTAGAGTTTCCTTTTCCCCAAAGCCTTTTCAGCAGAAAATTTGATTTTGGAAGCAAAATCGTAAAAAAAATCGTAAAAAAATCGTAAATGCATCCAAGGTTCCCAGAATCTGGTTTTCAGCTAAAAACTCGAGAAATTTTCGTTTTTTTTATGATTTTGCTAGAGTTTCTCTAGGAAAATCGTAAAAAAATCGTAAAAAAATCGTAAAAAAATCGTAAATGCTTCCAAGGTCCCCAGAATTTGGTTTTCAGCTAAAAACTCGAGAAATTTTCGATTTTTTTACGATTATTTTACGATTTTCGTAGAATTCCTCTTCCCTGAAGTCTTTTCCACCAGAAAATTTGATTTTTACAGAGAAACTCTAGCAAAATCACAAAAAAATCGAAAATTTCTCGAGTTTTTAGCTGAAAACCAAATTCTGGGGACCTTGGATGCATTTACGATTTTTTTACGATTTTTTACGATTTTTTTACGATTGTTCCAAAATCGAAAAAAGGCTTTCTCGAGTTTTTAGCTGAAAACCAGATTCTGGGGACCTTGGATGCATTTACGATTTTTTTACAATTTTTTTACGATTTTTTTACGATTTTTTTACGATTTTCCTAGAGAAACTCTAGCAAAATCATAAAAAAATCGAAAATTTCTCGAGTTTTTAGCTGAAAACCAGATTCTGGGGACCTTGGATGCATTTACGATTTTTTTACGATTTTTTTACGATTTTCTTAGAGAAATTCTAGCAAAATCATAAAAAAAAAACGAAAATTTCTCGAGTTTTTAGCTGAAAACCAGATTCTGGGGACCTTGGATGCATTTACGATTTTTTTACGATTTTTTTACGATTTTGCTTCCAAAATCAAATTTTCTGCTGAAAAGGCTTTGGGGAAAAGGAAACTCTAGCAAAATCATAAAAAAATCGAAAATTTCTCGAGTTTTTAGCTGAAAACCAGATTCTGAGGACTGAAAAAATCATAAAAAAATCATATCCAAACCATAAAAAAATCATAACCACAATTTGAACCCATAAAAAAATCATAAATGGAAATCGTATTCAAATCATAAATAAATCATTAAAAAAATTATTTTGAAACCCCTCCATCCTAGAGACTTAGGAACTCTGAAGCTTAGATCCCATCTAAACCTTGATGTGTTCATCTTAAATCAACTTACCCTCCTTGGTAAACTAACAAAACTGTGGAAAATCACCATTTGAAAATCACCATTTTTCATGGGAAAACTCACTATTTCATACTATTTCTATGGCCACTTTCAATAGCTTTTTGTAAGTTGACCAGAGGGTACCCTCACTCAAACATGTCCAGAGAATCCCTGCCATGGAGGTTTGTGGCGGAAACTCAGCCTACCCACTGGGCTTTCCCAACCATCCTTTCGAATGCTGACGTTCCCCAGGTTCACATCTGCGCACAGCTGATCTGTTGATGCCTACATTGGGCCTCTATTAACTGGACCCTGGACTTAGAGAGTTTGGAAAATCGAGGATCATCCAAGCTGTTTAAGGATGGAAATAGAAAGTAAAATGAATTATCAGCCGGCCCGCCGGAAGTATGGTATGATGGTCAAGTAAGCCACGGAAACAGTTGGTGCTCCAATTTGGTTCAAATAAATGCCTTGGTTCTGTCAGAACCAAAATGTCGATGGTTGATGGATTGCTTTGTATAACTTGTTGATAGAAATCCCATGAATTCATGCGCACACATATATATATATATACATAATTATATTATATATATACATAATTATATTATATAATATTATATATAAATACCTTCTGGTTGGTTCAAATACCCAGAACCGTTAGCCTTCAACCAACAAATACGTTTCCATTTTGTTTGCGGCTTCAAACCGTATTGTTCAACAAGGGAAAATTCCAACCGTAATTGCGCCCGATCTTCTTGGACTTGTTCAAGTTGAGGAATCCCCAAAAGTATCTGGCGGATCTCCCCTTGGGGAAAAAAAAACATTTCTTCTCATTGACAAAAATATGATCCCATCAAAAAATCCCACCATTTAGAGATGGTTTTCCCACTACAAACCTGGCTTTATAGATCTTCCCAGCAATCCATCGGGAATCTATGAGAATCTTCAATATCGGTATTAGTTTCCCATCAAACAACAAATCCCATATACCCTCTGGTTCTTTAACATAGCTATGGAAGTCATGGACCATTTATGGATGATTTACTTCAGTTAAACCTCTCAAGAGTGGAATTTTTCCATGGCTACCCTCTGGTAAACGTTTACATAACTATGGAAAATCACCATTTTAATGGGAAAATCCACTATAAAAGGTCATTTTCAATAGCTATTTTGACATAACCAGAGGGTATGTTAAATAGCCATAGGGTAGTTCCTAGAAAATTCAACCACTCCCTGGCTCGGCCACTCACCTTCGACATTCGACGGAGGCATCGCATATGCGACTTCGACAGACTGGAGCCTCGGCGCGAGCGCCGTAGCTGCTCTTCATGGAAGCCGACGGTTGAGTATTGGGAAAACTATGGAAAATCACCATTTTTAATGGGTAAATCAACATAAATCAACTGTATCTGGTTGGTGGTTTTTCGCCACCCCTCTAAAAAATGATGGACAACCCATCAGTTGGGGTTACTATTCCCAACCAGGGATCTATTCATTTTGGAAAACCAGTTGGTGGTATTGAATGTTAGACACCATCTTGGACACCAGTTTGGATGAACCATTAAAAGGGGTTACCCTTTTTTTGGAGAACCACTTTGGGAAACCTTTCATGGTAGTTCAATGCTCATTGGTTCTAGAATATGTTCTAATTGGTTTTACAAAAGCAAACTATGTTTATTGGATCTATTCCATGTGGCTTCCAGCAATGAGACATGGAGGTGCTATCAGCTGCTATCCAGTGTGTCTCTGAGGATATCCCCAATTTGTAATAAACATTGAGAGGCATACAGGATGGGGCCCCCAAGGTAGCTAATAGCTCAGTTGTAAGTGGTTTAACTATGGTTTATGGTAGATATAACTATAGTTAATGAGGATTATAATGTTTATAAACCAACTTATAACTGGGGGGCCCCATCCTGTATGGAGATATTGCTTTCAAAAAAACGATAAAATTATCAATACATATCAATACTTTTGTTGCTTTGAGTTCCGGTCTGTTGTTGCCTCCATGCTTATTTTGTCGGCTTCTCACAGTGTCTTTTCTCTATCAAAAACGGTTTGATGTAGCTTGCTAATAAGTCATCTCCCGCATTGCTGTAGATAAAGTCCCCAACTCGTGTTCAATATCAGTTGGTTGTAGTATGTTGAAGTTGTATTCCAATTCTTGTTGATGGATATGGACTATGTTGGGTTGCGGTAAATGAAGCATACCATCTTTGTACATTGTCGCTCGTTGAATTGAGCTGGCAGAATCTCAATGTTGACAGCCAATTTTTGGTCACTCTCTTCAAATTTGGGTACACATAGGTCTGATTCCAAGTTATTTTATGTTTTTGGGGGGTTGTTTAATGTTGTCCGTCTCTTTCTTCCAGAAGTTCCACTGTTTGGGTAGCTAAATTGCAAATTTCATGGTGGAAACCGATATGTTTATCGGCTACTATATAAAAAAAAAATTATTGCGCAGCTAAAACCCAGTTTGTTGGTGTTTTTAAAAAAAAAAAACTGTTTATATATGTTTCTTGAAACCTCCAAAATTTCTGTGAGATCCAGAGGTTCTGACATTGAAAATCCACACTTTTCTAGCCTTTTCATTTCATGGTGAAATCGACCATTTTCCACCCTGAAACCTCCCACATTGAAAGCTCTACAAACCACTTATTTCTATGTGTTTGTTTTTTAGTTAGGGGATTCTCATTCCATTTTTATGGGGTGACTTACTGACTTATAGCTGGTATTTCGGGCCATACCTGTACCCTTCGGTAACTAAGCAGTCAACCACTGGGAAATTGGCTTTCAGCAACTAATGTTTGCAAGATTTCACCAGCAATCATTGTCCGTTTGAATCAGCCATAACATCCATAACCCAAAAAAAACATGAAAAAAACATGAAAAATCATTAAACATCATGGGTATGATATAACCATCATTCATGATATAAACAATCATTAAAAATTGTTTTAAAATCATTAAACATCATGATATAACCACCATTCATCCACCATAAATCGGGGTAAATTTTATAAATTTTCACGTTCACCTGAATTGTTGGGCCATAAAAGGGGATGATTTCCCCCAAAAACCTGCCGGCTTTTCGCGTTCCAAAACCGCCCTTTCCCCCGGTGCCGCGGCGTCGCTTTTTGGCACGTCGATCCTCCGGCGCTTCTCGGCGCGTTGCATCAAGGCCCAGGCCACCGCACGGTGGTCCGCCACGGCAATGGGCACCTGGAGATCCGGTGGGAAATGGTGGTTGAAGGGTGGTTGAATGGTGGTTTACCACTAGAAATGGTAGATTTTTGTCAAAATGGTGGTTAAAATTGTAGATTTGTTTATAACCACTAGAAATGGTGGTGTATAACCACTAGAAATGGTGGTGTATAACCACTAGAAATGGTATAATTTTGTGAAAATGATGGAAAATATATGGTGGTTGAATGGTGGTTTACCACAAGATATGGTCGATGTTTGTTAAAATGATGGAAAATATATATGGCTGGTTGGTGGTTGACCTACCCCTCTTAAAAATATGAAAGTCAATGGGAAGGATTATCCCATATATTATGGAAAATAAAAAATGTTTGAAACCACCAACCAGATTGGGGTTGAATGGGGGTTTAGAAATGTGAAGCACTAGAAATGGCCGGGAAATATGGTGGTTGAACCACTAGAAATAGTTCAAAATCGCGGTTTAAAATGGTTTAACACATGGTTTGATCATGGCGTGTGATAGTTGTAAGTTGTGAACATATGGATTTATCATGATTTATCGCCAACATGACATTGAGATAGAGTATTGAAAGACTGGTAAGTTGGTTTACGTACAGGAATGATCGGCTAAGTAAGATTTATAGTGCAGATACCTATGGTTTTATAGGTTTATCAACCAACAAACATAACTGGGCAGCAAATTCTTGTGGTAAATCCTTGATTCTGGGGGAAGAAAATCTTGGAAAGGCTGTCTGAAAGGGAATCTTGGAGGCTGAATATATATGTGGGGCCAACAATTATGGATTTACCATACGATTTACCCCCCAATGTGTGGCTGTTTTACTTGGGAGATAAGTTTTTTTTAACAATAGAAAGTGTTGTTTAAGTTTCGGAAGGAATGAAATATAATGAAACTGATTAATTGTTGAATTCACATCCTTGATTTTCTTGATGTGGCAGGCAATCTTGATGTTTCTGGCAAAGCCTGGAAATCCTGGAAATCCTGAGGGAAAACTTGGAGTTTTGCTTTCTCTAGAACAGAATCATGGATGTTGGGAAGAATCTTATGGATATTGGAGACAATCTGAGTTTTCAGTATAGCTCAATCCAGTGCTCTTAGGTCCAGGTTCTCCAGTTTGTTGATTTTGCACCTGTACAAGGTGAGGTCCCCCAGTTATGTTGCAGTTGGCTTGTAAACCCCATTCACTGTAGTTACATCCCATATAAAGCCTAGGCCTAGTGTACCAAATTATAGCTGCCTGTGCCGACTTTTTCTGCCTGTTCCCCCTCCCATCGGTCCCCTACTGGGAGGATTATCCCACTTAATAACTGGTGCGTAAGTGGGGTTATAACCGTTATAACCCACTTGTCAATGGGATAACCCCAGGAATCGGGAACGAATCCGATCACCAGGGTTGGTCACAAAAACGATCTGGTGGGATGATCCAAGTCTTCCAATATATCTATCCCTACTTTGGTTGGTGAAATCCCCATTCATCACCATAAATTCCCACGAAATCCCATTAATTTCCAATGAAATTCCCATGAAATCCCATTAAACCCAGGATACCTCATTGATGGTGGAGTCCTTCCATGTCCACCAGATCAAAAAAAAAATTGGCACCTGGCCCTCCTTGTTGGGCAAGGTATCATCGGCACCAGCGTCCAACAAACATCGCACCACTTCCAGATGACTCCGTTGCGCAGCAACGAAGAGCGGTGTATCCCCCCTGCAGTTGCCACGGTTCATCTCCTAGGGCGGCAGCTGCGCAACTTTGCGGCAACGGCGTTGCGCTGTAAGGTGAAGAAACGCCTAAAGTGGTCTTTGGTAAATCGATTAAAGGATTATCTACTATATTTAGTGGATATAATATGATATACCATTCATACTATCATTTTGGTAAATTTGGATATACCATTCATAAATCCATGTTCATTTATTTATACCATTCATAACATGATTCATCCATGATATCCTTACTATTCATACCATTGGGCTTCACCAGAACGAGACTTTGGGTGAAATCCACAGGTTTCGTTCAACATGAAACAAATCCCGACGAAAAGCGTGTTTTACGACGTGCTACGAAAACGACGCCACCGTGGTTTCAACAGCTTTAAAGCACCTGGTGATCAATAGTGGTTAATGGTTGATATAGTGGTAATGATGAATGGTATTAATGGTATGAAATGGTATATACCATCAATGGTTATATCACCCATATGCTCCATGTTTGGTATATGCACCATTTTACCTACAAAACTGGTTGATTTTGTTCGGGCAAATGTTGGTGTGCATATTCCAGCACCATGGAGCATATGGGTCGGGTAAATCCCAAAAAAAAAACTGTGCAGTCCGCCTCTGCAGGATGTCTTTGTGTTAAAAGAGAGCCCAGTGTCTGCCTTGGCGTCCAACAAACACTTCACGATGTCCAAGAAACCTCATGGCAAATAGCTGCCTGTTGGTCTGGGTCAAACATTGCAAACGCTGAAAAACCTTGAAACCAACTCTCTGATTGTTTAACATAGCTATGATGCTATGGAAAGTGGATGAACATTGCCCATTTATAGATGATTTATGTTTTCCCCATTAAACTTGGTGATGTTCCATAGCTACGTTAAAATTACCAGAGGATCATAGCTAATAACTGGGAATGGGAGGAACTGGGGAAGTTGCACGGTTGACAGATACTGGGTCAAAAAAATGCCAAAACTGGGAAGCTTGACCGGGAAACAAGGGGATATTCCAGTACACTGAGGATCGAAACAACAGGATGGATCACAATCGGGTACCCCAGAATGGGCATGCCAATCTGGCATCCTTGACATCCCAACTTGGAAGATGAAATACCCAAATAATGCCTCAAAGCTCTCACTTTCTGGATCTAAAATTTAGACCTGCATCTACATCCATGCAATTCCCTATGCCAAGCTCTAAACACCTATGGTTTTAGAAAATGCTGACTGCTCCTGCACGTGCAGATTCTGAGGTGCTCACCAAGATCACATGCGATGAAGAGTGGCGTCTGACCCAACTTGTCGGCCTGGCCCCACGTGTCAAGTAACTGCTACAGTAAATACAGAGATTCGCCCCCAAAAAAAAAGTAGAAAAGGTATTTATCCCTGTTTTGGTAGGTGATTTATCCCTACTTTATATAGTAGGATCTTACTTTTCTATCCTTTTGAGGGTTTAATTGTCGAAGCCGCTGATCCAAATTCGTCCCCTTCTGGTAAGGCCCTAGGATTTGCCCGATATAGGCAGTGTTTTCTGCTGGATTCAGAGTTTTCAGGGTTTTAGGATGTTAAGGATGTTTAGGGTTTAGGGTTTAAGATTTGAGGGTCTAGGGTTTTAGGGTTTAAAATTTGTGGTTTAGGGTTCGTCGCCGCGTCGCCTGGGAAATAGCAAAACACTCGCCCTGCGAAGGTATTTGAGCATGTCGAAGGATCATGTTTGAACACCATTCTAACCTTCCGGGCAAACCATAGAGTCTTGCTGTCTTGTTAGATGACGGTGGATCAAGTACAATATATCATGGAAATTCTGAAAAAGTGGGTACATGAATCCCTATTCATGGACCGACCTTCCCAATACTTACCCAAGTCTTGATCATGGCACAAATCATAGCAACACCTGAAATGGCACTATCGGTTTTCGTCACATGCTGCAGTGTAGTTTGGACTTGAGGAGCAGCCGGCAAGCCCATTTATCATAGCGCGGCAAACTACAGAATCTTATCACAGTTCACAAGACTGAAGCCAAAACAGTCACCCATTTGCGATTCTTTCCCCTACGTGAGATGTATCAAAGCATATTTAAAATCTTTATATAACTCATAGTTATTGAAAATGACCATTTATAGTGGATTTTCCCATTAAAAATGGTGATTTTCCATAGCTATGTTAAATTACCAGAGGGTAACCATTGACGAATCTGAAAAGTTCATCGGATGATGATTCCCCTTGGATTCAGGTACAATACTTCGAGGTCATGGGAATATCACCATACTTGGTGGCTCATCCCAGTTAGTAAGTGGATTATAACCCCAGGTATAAGTGAACTAACCCTACTTAGCCCAGTTATAACCAGGGCTTTTTCAGCTACTTACTAAGTGGGGTGAACCACCAAGTAGCACCATGGCACCATTGCGTAAATCCCCCACATGTTTCACGGGCAAATCACCAATCCTCAAAAACGGCTACAATAGGGGCCAGCGAAATCCTGCATCACCAATTTTGGGATTGGATGGTTTTTCAAGCCCAACAAAAATCATGGGATGTAAAAACCACCGAACTTTCAACTGGTGATAAACGGATTTCGCTGGCCCATCCCCAGTGATGTTTGTTGGTTTATAAACCCCATTACCTCTAGTTATATCTACCATAAACTATAGAATTCAGCCACTTATAAGGCAACAATCACCTAACCATTCCCAGAGCTTGGCTTGGCCTGTTCTTTGTCAGCAGAGGACTCGAGCAGCACTTGAACCTCACAGCTTTGGCGCCGTTGGAGGCGCTGCCGGAGTTGCCGGTGCCAAGGATTTTATGAATATTGGGTACTTCAGGGGAAATCATGGTGATCAATGGAGATTTCACCAAAGTAGGGATACATACATATATATATATATACATGTATATATATATACATGTGAATATTGAAATATATTGGAATACTTAATACCCGCTGGTAAAGCTACAAAAAAGCGAACTGGAATATCACCATCTTGAGTAAAAATATAGGTAAATCAACGAAGTAAATCTGCCATTTTCAAGTTCGCAAACTGTGAAATCAACGTATTTGAAGGATGATCCGAACCGTAAGCGGCTTTCGTAACCCTGGTGATCGTATTTCCCCAAAATCGTGGCTTATCCCATGGTTTCTCACGCTCCTCAACCAAAACGTGGCAATTGAAAATCCCCTAGTTATAGATGATTTTTCCATGAAACCCTAGTTATAGATGATTTGGTAGATGTATGTAGATGTCCCATTGGGACAATAAACAATTAGAATTTAAACAAACCCAGGAATTCACGCTACGATGTCCAGCATTTCCCATCGACTGGATGCCCCCAAAACGGTACGATGCCCATGAAATCATCCTCATGTTCATTGAAAAACATGAAAGTCTGTTGGGATTATCATGACTTTTTCCCAATATGATGGGAAAAAGTGACTGAAAATTTACCAAATTCATGTTCCAAACCACCAACCAGCCATGTCTTTGTTGATTTTGTTGAACCGGATTTCTGGCTGCTGAAAAAGGTGGTTGTTGATCCGTGAAAAATCCCGATTCCGAGTCCGGTTGAATCTCCACTTTGAAAATGTGGGATACTCTTGATCGCTGCTGCATCACCCTCTGGTAATGACTAACATAGCTATTGGAAATGGCCATAGAAATAGTGGATTTTCCCATAAAAAATAGTGATTTTCCATAGCTATGTTAAATTACCAGAGGGTATCTGCATGTTTGCTGATCAAAACCTGCAAACCATGTTTTTTTTGGTTTCCTCAAAAGTGACCCTCCCATTTTGGTGATATGCCGCATAATATAGCTATGGCCTCAAAATTGGGTACTCCTGAATGCGCTTCTGAAACCAAAAAATTGCCCAACATCTGCATGAAAACCCGTCTTAGATTTCGACCTATAGCCATATATGGAAGAAAGCCCAGAGTTGATTGGGATTATATTAAAATTGACTCTGCTAAACCATGGCATGGTAAATTCAATATACTCTCTGGTAAACCTACAAAAAACTATGGAAAATCACCATTTTCAATGGGTAAATTCACGAACTAAATCACAAATTTCAGTAGCTACTTTGACATAACCAGAGGGTACCAATCTACCTTTCAACATCTCCAGAGTCCCATCGCCAAGCTACAACGTTCAGGTTACCCTTGCCCGCTGCGATGAAGAGCGGCGAGTGTCCATGCTGATCTGCCTGCGGGTCGAGATTTTTTGCATGTCATAGTCTTACTAGTGCTAAACGTAGGGAATGGATGGGAATGGGTTTTTTTGCTGGGATTATTGTTGATAGTTAGCCAGTGGATCATTCCCGAGAATTCCCTGCGTTTAGCACCAAGAAGTAGTTGCTGCGATAGTAACACTGGAGTCACTGTAGTTGTTGACTAAAATATTAGAATACTGGTTGGTGGTTGAGCCACCCCTCTGAAAAATATGAAAGTCAGTCGGGGATCATTATTCCATTCCCAATATGATGGGAAAAAATTACCATTCATGTTCCAAACCACCAACCAAATATTATAATATTAACTACAATTAACCACCATTAACCACTACTGGTAGTTGATATATCGCTGCAAGTAGTGGATATTACATCGTTGTTGATGTTTTGACCCAATCTTTGCCATCAAAATTGCCAAAGAAATGGGATGCTAAAAACTAGAAATGACCAACATACGTGCTGCTCTGGGCTTGAAATGTTGGTCATTTGTACGTCCAAACCGGAAAACGCTTATATCAGTTTGCTGCTTGAAGAACTGCATCAAAGTACACATCAAATCGTTACATGTTGATTCGTCCGATTGGTCAACATATTTACATCATATTACACATCGACATCATCATAATCAATCTCCATGCCCATAAAATATCACCCATAACTTCCCCTGAACTAATTACCCATACTTGCCAATAGATTACCCATGATTACCCATAATTTCTGTATCCCTTACTTCTCAACAATTCATTACCCATAACTTGCCAATAGATTGCAAGTTAAATTACCCAAAATCACCCATAAACAACTGTACCTCAAACTTCCCAATTTTGCTAGCCATAATCAGCCATAGATGAGATACTGTGGTTGCGAAATCCTACCACCAAAAGGATTGGATGGTTGAAACCCCAGCAAAATAATGGATGTTTACAGATTTTACCACCGTTTTCAACTGGTTTCGCCACCATCCACCGTACCCTCTGGTAAACTGTCACCAAAAAAACTATGGAAAGATCCACCATGTTCAATGGGAAAATCCACTATTTCAACTGGGCCATTTGGGTATGTCTGAAAATGGGGTATACCCCCAATTATAGCCATTTAGTAGGGATAATGATCATTAACCATTGGGTGTAGGGGTACACTATTTTCAGACAAACCCATTTTCAAGTTCGCAAACTGTTGACATAACCAGAGGCTACCAATCGACCTTTCAACATCTCCCGTCCCACCAGGCCTTGTCCCACTGCGCATTGGCCCGCAGCAAACATCGTACCACCTTGTCGCAGCCGAAGTGCACCGCACTCACCTCGAAAGGTACCATGATTTGGTGGAGAAGTGACCATGAAAAAATGGACAGTTTGCTATTGAAAACAGTGAAATGGCCCATAGAAATAGTGGATTTACCAATTAAAAATGGTGATTTTCCATTACTCTCTGGTAAACAAACAGTTTGCGAACTTGAAAATGGTGATTTAGTTCGTTGATTTTCCCATTCAAAATGGTGATTTTCCATAGTTATGTGACAGTTTACCAGAGGGTGCGCAAAAATGGAAGTTCAACTGTATGAAACTGGCTGGTGGTTGAGCCACCCCTCTGAAAAATATGAGTTCGTCAGTTGGGATGATGAAATTCCCAATATATGGAAAAATAAAATTCATGTTCCAAACCACCAACCAGGAAACATCTGGATATAGTATGATATATGTGGGTTGTGGTTCAACTTTATGAAAAAATATGGATTGTGGATCTAGTTGAATCCTATTTAAGTCATATTCCAATGATGGCTAAAATGACACAGGAGGGATATTACCCTCTGGTAAACTAACATAGCTATTGAAAATGGCCATTTATAGTGGATTTTCCCATTAAAAATTGTGATTTTCCATAGTTATGTTAGTTTACCAGAGGGTATTATGAGAAACAAATGGACTGTAATCCTCTTGGACAAAATTGTTCGGGGGCCGGTGACTGGTATACACTGTACCACTACTTGCCGACTGTGAAAAATGCGGGTGACCCCTCAAGCAGACTCAAGCAGACTCAAGCAAGCAGCCGGAAAAGGACATCTATGACCTAACATTTCAATAATCCTGTCTCAATATGAAACACCCGCATTTATAGATCCAGTATGTCCCAGTCATATGTGATGTCATCCACAACAAGCCAGGTTTCTGGAGCGGAAACACAGTCACCATGTCACACCATGTCACACACCTTGTTGGGAAGCCCTCGTTGAACCACTGCTTTCAAACCTTGAAAGATTCCAAAAAGAACATCATTGTTTCCACTCCAAAATCACCCATTTTCCATGGTTTCCCTTGAAATGTTCAGGAAAATCCCCCATCTCCACCATCCCCCCAGTCTCCCCGCGCTCGCCACGTGGCCAAAGGCGTCTGACGGAAGCGATCGCAACACTTCACGTCCGCCGAAGCCGACAGCAGCGCCTGAACGATGTCCAGATGTCCATTCCTCGACGGGGCGACCATTGGATGGTTACCATCTGTGGGAAGCCCTGGGGGACTACCCTCTGGTTATAACATACAAAAAGCTATTGAACATGGCCCATTTAGTTCGTTGATTTTCCCTATTAAAAATGGTGATTTTCCATAGTTATGTGACAGTTTACCAGAGGGTACTTTCTTAGACATAGATTTACCACGGTAGTTGGAGGATCGTCTCAGTAACTCTATTCCAAAGACACCGATGCAGCGATGTTGGGGCAATCCTCCGTACGTATCCGTACGTTTCAATAAACGGAGAACTAAAAACTTGGGGGCGAAGCCTGCGAAGAACTCAGGTATATAAACCCAACCTGGAGAAGATAGAATATAGAATAGAACATGATAGAACATGATAGAACATAGAATAGAATATAGAATAAGACCCCCTTTTTTGCCGCAAGTCTTATCGAGATATCTGGATTCATCCCAACAAAAAAGCCCATGGTTTCTGGGTGACAAAAACCGGGGGTAGGTTTTGGGCGGATACAAACTCAACCTACTCCAGGATGGATCACCAAATCATGGTGAGCTTTTGGAGTTAGCATTGAAAAAGTCATCCTGGAGTAGATAGATGACCATAAATAGATGTATGAAATCTACTGGTAATATAGATAGATGACATCTTGGAGTAATCCTGTAAATCACTAGATGTCACTATATTAACCAATTGTTTATGACATTTTTTGTGATTTACAGTCATATTTGTGACATAAAAATCACCAAATCTTCACTCATTTTCACTAAATTGGGAATATCTTTGAAAATTCCATACAACATATCTGCTTCAGGGATGATTAAATCGATCTTTGCTTGAGCCTGACGAGCCTCCCGTCCCCAGGGTCGAAGCCATTAAGGTGGTTACAGACATCATCGAACTGGAAGGTCAGAAGTTATTTACCATACTGACCGACAGAAAATACCCATACTCGTTGGGAATTTACCGTAGCAAAAGACCACTTTATAGTAAGTATTTACCAACAGAAAAGTCTTTCTTTCTAGGTATTACCCATACTTCCTGGGGCAATTCCAAAATCAGAAATAGACCATTTTATGGTGAGGTTGGTGCGAGGTCGTTGTAATTTACCCAGGTACATCTTTGGGCATGCAGTTTCACTTAACAAGCCTTTTATATGGCCATCATTGTAAGTTACATACCAGTTTACTGGTGTTGTAACTCCAACTACGCCCAAAACAAGTCCACTACATTCCATCTGCTTGGTGGTTGAGCCCTAACCCCTCTGAAAAATGATGGAGTGAAAGTCAGTTGGCATGATGACATTCCCAACTGAATGGAAAGTCATAAAATTCCATGGTTCCAGTCACCACCAACCAGCCATAATATCAATCTCCCAATATCCTCCGTGATACTGTGGATGGAAGAAATCCTGCACCAGTTGATAGATGGTTTATCCCATTATTTATAGGGTTTCAACCATCCACTGTATTACCCTTAAAGCCATTTTTCACATCCAAGTGACCCTGCGGCAATGAAGAGCGGATTGCGGCCCAGTTGGTCAGCTTGATCCCTGGCCAAAGGATGAAAAGCCATGGAGGATCTTCGGGATCTTCACGATTTTTCATAGGTAAAGTAACAAAGCTATGGAAAAAAACACATGGAAAACAACGATAAAAATGCAGTTTGTTCAAATATGTGTTCTATGGGAAGAAAAAAATTATGGAAAACAACTATAGAGCAATCATAGCTTCCCAAAATACATCAAAATACCCTCTGGCAAAGCTACAAAAAGCGAACTGGAAAATCACCATCAAATTAATGTTCAATAGCTATGTTGAATTACGAGAGACTAGATCTTGATATGACTGTAAGTTTTGTGATTTGATCATTGACAAAGAGGGAGTATAGGGCCTGGAATCTAGACCCATACCTTGATGTACTGTAACCTCCTTGTATTGCATACACACATATGCCCATCAACCAGCATTTCTCTTTGCCAACTGTAGATAGCCTACAAGACCCTACAATTCAGGGTTTAGTTGGTTCGACATTCTCATTTCGAGCGAAAGATTCAAGTCCTCAAGTACCCATCCCAGTCAGTTTACCCAGTTGTTTCTTTTTTGATGTTTTTGTTAGCCACAAGAAACGTCGAAAAAAACATCCTGCTATAGGTTCAATGGATTCTTGTTTTTTTGGAACCTCTACCCTCTGGTGAACTAACATAGCAATGGAAAATCACCATTTTTAATGAGAAAATCCACTATAAATGGCAATTTTCAATTGCTATGTTAGTTCACCAGAGGGTACCCGGAAATCCCCAAATCGTTTTCCGTTTCCGGCACCGAAACTTCCACGGAAATGCCTTGCCTTTGGGCGCCAGCTTCCAATAGGATTCGCACCAGTTTCAGATTTCCAAGGTGGGCCGCAGTCAGCAAAGGTGTCTCCCACAGTGGATCCTGCAGCGCAGTCAACTCCATTTTTAGTGTCAGAAATTTCACAGGAATTTTAGTGTGGTGAAAACCCATGGAACCCAAAAAAAGCCTACTGAACCTACTGAACCTACTTTGCCACGACTTTAATAGGTTTTTGACCTTTTCGATTTTAAATCCTAGAGAAAAGTCTCAAACATCAACCGAATATAGGCCATCTTGGGGGTGGTAAATGTCATCGCCTGTTTGATCAGCCCAGTGTGGTGTCTCTGGAATGCGGGATGCGCTACAATCTTCTTTTAAAGCAAACTATTATTGGAGAAGACTGAAAAAAAAAATTGGGACATTCAGAAAATCACAAAATGTAAAAATATGTCACTGTGTTTTTTTTTGGATTGAGGTTTGTCCCCTGTCCAGGATGATTGCTGTGCTTCGTGATCCAACGATGATCCAACGATGCATAGTTTTGATGCTTCACCCAACTCAGCAAGGATGTGCCATAGGTCATTCATGATGGTAAGGTCCCCAGGTCCCCAATCCACCAATCCGGTCACTGGCGAAAAATCCCGCTTGGGCCTATCCAAAAATATAGAAACAACTCATCCAATAAACATGGAAACGCCGAGGAAACATACAGTTCTACTTTTTTCATGGATCATCAGAAGAACTTTTTTGTACTTGATATCATTCATACATGATATCCAGGAAATAAACAGGATCATCAGAAGTTCTACCTTTTTCCTGGACCTCCATGACCAGATTTTTGTTGCTGCAAGAGTCAGTGTCATCATCATCCGCATCCATGAGCAGGTACTTGGCCAGCACCTACGGCTCGATTTCTCGATGGCCCTGGATACTGCCCGGAAAACCTTACCTGACTGGTCTTTGTACCCTCTGGTTATGTCAAAGTACCTATTGAACATGGCCATTTATAGTGGAATTACCCATTGAAAATGGTGATTTTCCATAGTTATGCTAGTTTACCAGAGGGTAACTATGGGGGAAAGGAATGATGAGTCATCAAGTTTTTCAACCAACCATCATCAACTATAACTCATAGTTCAGTTGCTGATGTTCAGTCACAGGGCCATCTTACACCAGTGCCTTCTCGTCATATCCAGCATCCAGAAGACATCTTACCTGGGCAGCGGATGACGATGACGATGATGATCATGATGTGATTATTGTTGCTATTTGAAAGGTATTTGAAAGGATATCATGACTATAATCATTACCATTCTTATCATCATTCTTATCACTAATCGTAATGATCTGAATGTGGTATCATCATTATTTCACTACATTACCATTATAGTCTGACTATGTATCAGTCTCAAGATGACCTGACACAACGAAATGACCAAACAGGATGCCCAACGGCCCTGCTCCCCGTCCAAGTTCTGTGTGATCAATGGTAAAAGCAGTGGGGGGTACCGATGTCTATCCTTGATAGTGAGACCCCCATTGATACGAGTATCACTCAGTGATTATGATTGTCACTATGGGATAATGGAATAGATCCAATGAACATGGGGTCTAAGGGGTTGTAATGACAATGTATAGTAATATACAATACATAAAGATATAGATATATATAATATATAATATATATATAATATAGAATAAAATATAATATATATAATATAATATATATATATAATGTTATTACTATGGGATATGCAATGTATGGTGATGATTATTATTGCCATGTAATCATTATGAATAAGTGAACCACGCCGAAGGTTTTTGGACCAAATGAACATGGGGATATGATGGGATACAATCCCCGCGATTAACATAGACCCTGACTACTGCCCAATCTGCCAATCCCAAATTTCGAAAGTAGTTCTGAAGAACCCCACTCATGGCAGAGTCGGCATGATAGTTGGGAAGTTGGTATGATGTTGTTTGTATATCTTGTTGGTGGTTTCAACCAACCCCCCTGAAAAATGATGGAGTTCGTCAGATTGGATCATCATCCCAACTATTGGGAAAAATAAAATTCATGTTCCAAACCACCAACCAGTCTATCTATATATATATATATATCCCTATTCCAATCCCTATTATTGATGATTGAATCCTTTATTCCAACCGGATATCTTCGTATTTGTTTGTTCAGTATGGATCTTGAATCCGCATCAATTCCCATTTTGTTTTTTTATCCCCATCCATAGCCATAGCTAGCTGTGTCCGAGCCCGTAAAAACCAGGTCTAAAAATAGATCTAGAAGCAGCCGATCCTTAGACCTACTTAAACCAACTTAGCAAAAAATCCTAAGTAGATCCCCATTCCCATGTTGCATAGTTCAATCTAATATCCTTTTCACTTTGGCTCATTTTGGACAGCCTTCAAGGCTGTTAACTAATCCTATCCCACTAATATGGTCAAATTCCCTACATCCACCACGGTGACTCGTTGAACGGGGCTGTAAAAAATACCCGGCCTGGTAAACGTTTACATAACGAACTGGAAAATCACCATGCTATTAGTGGCTAAATCAACTATTTCGACTAGGCCATGTTCAATAGCAAACTGTTAGTCACTACCGAAAATGGCAATTTATAGTTGATATACCCACTCAAAATGACCATTTTCAATAGCTGCTATAGCTATTTTGACATAACCAGAGGGTATCATGGGATTATCCCATCGACTCCAACCAGGTTACCACATCCAGGCGATGGTTTTCGGCCGCCACGATCAGAGGATCGTGGCGACGCGTGCCGCTGCGGCAGGTATTTGTGCTGGTCACGCTGCCTCGGGTTGTGCAACCACAAGGGTTGGAAAATTTGGAGTCAACCAACTGGGGGGTCCATCATTTTTGGTGGAAATTCATGGGAAAATCTAACTATAGTCACTATCATTTGGTTGGGAAACTCGATTTGTAGCTCCCAACTGCTCCTGGTTGGTGGTTTCAACCCCTCTCAAAAATATTAGTTACTATTCCCAATATATAGAAAAATAAAAACTGTTCCAAACCACCACCAGTCTCCCATTTACTGGGGCATATGGATACCCATTGCTCCTTGACTCCCTCCGTTCACCAGATAGCCAACTGGTGAAATGTTGGAATTATGTTTTTTTGACCAAACGATATAATCCCGTCCCCCCAAATCTCAGTATACAATATTTTGGAAAACCCTGATCATTGAATTGTTATTCATGTTCCGTACTAAGCACTGAGTACTGGGGGTCTTGGGGGGACGGGATTAACATGGATTAACCATGCACCCAGCAACAAGCAGAAGACAACAAAAGTTGGGATTGGCAATGCCAACATTTCAATGTCCATTTCAGGAACCGATTGATTGGAGGTACCTACCATATATAAGGCCGAAAAATAAGGCCTAAATTTCAGGGAATATCCCCACAATTCATATGGCCAGAAATATGGTACGTAAACACGTACCTTAAATCGGATCCTGAAGATCTCCCGTTGAACATTGGGAATTCCAGTGACCACGGCGCCACTGAATTCCGCCCATGTGTTGATGCTGGTCACCAGAAAAATTCGACCACCAATGGGTGGTATTCCAACCATCAATCACTGGATTGGTTTAAGGGAAAAATTACAGGAAACCCATGGTTTTTACCATCAAATATAGGGCTTTCCTGTAATTTTTCTCATCATCCAATTCTATGAGTCAATTTCTATGGCGTTTCCATAGTTTCCATCGTCTGCGCTAAGAAATGTCCGGTGTTCAGTCCAAATTGTTGCTGCTTTCGCAAGATCTCAGGTATGTACCTAGGGAGAAGAAAGATCCAAGAAATGATTCCAGTGTTTTTTGTTCATCCATCTTAGTAGTTGGTGTGATTTGCTTCTCATCAAGCCACGTTGTTTCACTAGAAAACCTACCCCTGCTCAGATACTTTTTTTCTGGCACCAAAGGCAAAAAAAATGGTTTCATCATCCAATCCAATTCCAGCTACGCTGCAGTAAACACAGTGGTAATCTGTAATTCAAGGATGTGACTTTATTTATAAAGCTTCCGATAAAATGAGGTTCTTTCCATTGCCAATCTTTGATACCTTGATTTTGTGTCCCTAGTTGCATTATATATACATATGTATATATATATATATGTACATATATGTATATATGTACCCATGTATACAAAATGGCAAAGTTTAGCTAGCTCACCTCATACATATATACATAATATTGATCAATATCAGACATACATGTACATATCCGCAATTACAGATTAAAGTACCAAACTTCATTCAAGCAGCCAGCCATCCTGCTGTCCCACTAGTCACCAGTCACCAAGCAACCTGAGTCCAATAGACATTTCACCACCGCCAGATTTCCATTCATCGCAGCACTGAAGAGCGCATTATGTCCATAACCTTAATCCCAGTGATATTCATGGGACATAGCGCAGGATGGGGCCCCCAGTCGAGCTCGGGTGCAGTTGCCGAAGATTTTAGTGGCGAAAAAACGATGGTTTATGGTAGATATAACTCTAATTAATGGGGTTTGTAAACCAACGTATAGCTGAGGGGCACTATCCAGTGGGATAATGGAGACTTTCAATGGATAGCAGTGGGAATTCTAAAATCTCGGTCATATGAATGACTAATCAATGGGATAACAAAGGAATATGAATGGGATAATAATGGTATACCATCTGGTTATGACTAACATAGCCATGGAAAATCCCTGAAATAAATGGAGGTTTCTAGCTGGGAAAATCATCTATAAATGGGCCATGGCTTCCATGGCTATGTTAAATAACCAGAGGGTATCAATGGAGTTACCCTCCAGAAAACTCTCGGTGATTTCTGGGGTCAGGAGTCATGGATGGTACCCGGATGGTACCCGGAAATAGCTGGGAATTATATAGGAATTATATATATATATACACACACATATACATATATATATATATATGGATTTTGATGCCCCAAAATATGATAATAATAGATTTCGACCCACGCCCCATTTTGTTCAAAAACCGGCTAGCATTTTATCGATGGTTGCTGTTTGGTGGTTGTTTACCCAAATGAAAAAGAACGAATCGATTCAGTTCGCCTTCCAAGGGCCTAAGGGGCTGCAAATGGGTCGGTCTGAAAATGGCGAACCCCAAAATCCAACGGTTTATCATCAATTTCCTTGTTAATATAGCCATTTGGGGGTATACCCATTTTCAGACAACCCCAAATTAAAAAGCGAAAAAAAAAAAACGAATTCAAACCAGCAACGATCCGTGCGATTCACGTCTGCATCAGCAGATAGCAGGCAGCCCACAATGTCCAAGTAACCCTTTCCTTAGTCGAATCAAAAATCGCCTGGAATCTCATAGATTTTCCCAGCAAACTTCCATCTGTGGCATTTTCCAAAACGCCACGTTTGAAAATATCCGATGATTGTCCCATGATTTTCTGTATCAAACTACCATTAAATGGTTGAAGAATTTGTTGTGGAGTGAATACGAAATCAAAACCATATCAAAACCAATGGTAGTTGAACATTAAATGGTTGGTTATCAGATATGAAACAGGAGAGTGAATGTTGTTTTGACACATCAATCACCACCATGGCTCAGTTTTGCTGACATCCCAATGTTGCCTGGTGTCCCGGTTTTTGTTGTTTACATGTTGACCCGTCGGTAAACTAATGTAGCTATGGAAATGACCATGTTTATAAAGTAGGAACGTAATGGGCAAATCATTTAAATGGGTTATTTTCCATAACTATGTTAGTCTACTTGAAGGTAAATCCATTTTTGTTCGTTCTTTGAACCCCATTTGGTTTGCTCAAATGCCTTTTTTTCGTTTCTGAAAAGTCCAATGCTGGTTGCTTAGATCCATATCCTGTTTAAACCCCGAGTGTCCTTTCTTCAATGCCAATCATTGCGCCTTGAATAGAATTGTTTGGTTGCGAAAGTCCGGATAGATTTGTGGTGTTTAAATCTCAATTGTCCTGCGTTAATTCACAATCAAATCCCCAATCAACAGGCATCCAAATTTCCAATTGGTTTGATATGTTTCACCATGTTTCATGGTTAGATCCTACTTCCCCATGGATACACTCCAGCATTTTCAACTCCGCACTGACCACAAGCATTGGCACCCCAATTATAAGATCCATAGATTTCATGGCTACACCATGCTAGGAATTTTCACCATGTTTCATAGTTAAACGATGATCAAAAACTCTAATAATTTCCATATGTATTCCATATTTTCTAGTTCAAGCAACATTTTTTCTTCCATTTTCTATACGATTTGATGGTTAATTATGCTTAAACCACGGTGCAACCAACATTTTTCCTCCATTCATGGTCAATTTTTGGTAGGCACAAAAAAGAATATTTTCTCCGACTGGTTCCCACCCTAACACATTATTCTAACATAGTTTCTGACATAGTTTCTGACATACCATTTGGAAGTATAGACGGCATATATATATATATATTTCTGACATTCTTTCTGGCATCTATTCCTGCATTGTATCTGTCATTTTCCGACATTTTTTCTGGTATTCTATCTGACATACTGTGGATGGTTGCGAAATCCTGCATCACCAAACGGATGGTTTTTCAACCCCACCAAAATAATGGGTTGTAAAAACCACCGAACTTTCAACTGGTGATTCGGATTTCGCAGCCACCATCCACAATGATGTTCTGGGATTTTGTCTGGTTTTCCCCACCCCAAAGCCTTCCTTTCCAGGTCTCCCGCGGCGATGATCAACGGCGTCCGGCCATCCTCGGTGGCCTTGTCCGCTGCGGCTTGGAAGCGCAGCAGGTGCTGCACCACCGACAGGTTGCCATCATAGGCCGCAATGTACCTGGGAGAAAACATGGGAAAAACCTAGAAAAAACTTGGAAAACTTGGGATTTTATGTTTTTTTTCGGTTGGAAAAACATTGGGAAATAGGGAAACACTTGGAAAACACCGAAGAAACCTAGGCAAAATGGGTTATGTCATTGGTTTTTTTCTTGGGCATAACGTGAAAAACTGTGGTATTTTTCTTGGAAAGCGCTTGAGTAATTAATCACAAGGTGGTGGCCCATAGTTATCTGAGACAAATTGTGGAAAAGTTCGGAAAAACTCGGAAATTACCGTTATAGTCATCGCAAAATGATGCAAAAAAGGATTCTTGGTGGATAATTCCAATTCTAAATGATGATTTGACTGACGAAGGAACGGATTAAAATTTGCATTCATCATCGTCAATATAATTCAACACATCAAAGTAAGAAAATGTATTGGGAATTTGTGAGTCGACCCTTCCGAAGTGACTTGAAGGAAAAAAGGGAAACATTCCCAAATGGTGACGCAACATGGGAAGCACTTGGGAAATTTTGGAATTGATTGACTTACCTGTGTTTTTCCCCAAACAGCGAGTCCACACTGAGGGGTTCTTATGGTAGGTGTAAAAAGACCGGGGTTCCATCAAGGTGCTCCATCTGGTCTGCGGCTTTTGACTGCACAGGTTCGCACAAAAGTTCCCTTGTGAGATGTCCATGTGCATTTCGACTGCGCAGGTTCGCACCAAATGTTTGGACTGTTTTCCTCGTTTCCGAGGGTGTAGTTTTACTAGCGCGCCGTGCTGGTTTTTTGAGTTATGTCCGTTTCGTAGGGCAGGTGTGGGGCATCCGGGGCATTTCTATAGAACGTCGTTTGGCAAGACAGGTACATCGGACACTTTTTCATCCCTGCGGCAAACGTGCCAATTTCTGCACGTCGCTAAAACGTTGGCAGGTGTGGGTGGGTCAAAATGATAGGTGGTTTTGGAGGTCACTTTGCGTGGCACGCGCAGTATTTGGTAAACTTTGGACGACGTTTTCAAAGGGTCGAAACTCCCAATGTGTGAAACGGTCGGCATTTTTGATTTGGGACATGATGATGAGTCCACCTGGCAGGTTTAGCACTTCGGATGCCTCGTGCTCATCTTTCGTGGCAAGCGCAGTACTTTGTAGACCTGGAAAAAAGTGGCTGAGACATAGGTAAAGCATCGGTTTTTACATGTTCAATGTTCTTTTTCCGTGGTGCGCACAATGTTTTGTGGAAATGCAACATGTGCACGCGCAACCCTCTCGTGACTTTGATTGAAACAACCATGGCTTTGGGGATTCCCCATGTCAAGAACCCCCCGGTAATCCAACCTGGTGTCCGAAAATTAGAAAATCTCCTGGTTATTGATGATGATTCTCGTTAAAACCCAAAGTTTATATCAAGGAATTCTCATTTAAAAACCCATGGGTAAAGCATAGCAATTTTATTCCTGGCAAGGTTCATGTTGCTTGGGAGGATTGTATTTTTTGGCTGGTATACCACAAGTAGTAGCATTATAGCAGCCCGAAATTAAACATAGAAAAGTTGGAAACCTTGAACATATGGAGGAAGCATTATCGAACTAACATCCTGGAAACATTGTTCGGCATCTTTGTGGCGCTTGCTATACGCAAGAATGATTTAGGTAGACGGACCGACTGGGTAGTTGAATACGAGCTATGTTTTTGCCATGGTTGGTTATCTATGAAGCTAACCAGATTTTTTTGAAGCACATAAGTTTGTTGCAAGCTCTCTGAGATTGGCTATGACACATGGGAGGTTTAACCAACAAAGATGGCGAAAGAAAACGCCCCATTGCGCTGCAATTGGTGGATTCCAGGGGATTTCATCCGCACCAAAAAAGTGGTTTCGACCAACAAAGAACAGGACATCATGGGGTCAAACCAAGGCGGCCCTGTGTTGTTGTGCAAAATCCTGCGAAATGCGCAGGCACCTGGTAGGGAGACGGCACACACTCCAACCTTGGATAATTATCTTTTCACGATGGGTTTCTGCAAGCCACAAAACCGGATAAAGCCAATGTATATATATATATGAATGTGAGGCGATATGCTCATGTATATTACTACTGGTATGTACAGGTCCTCCTGGGAGCGCAGTTTTCCCGTGATTTAAATAATATGTCCAAAGGTTTTACTTTTACACAACAATTTGGCTAGAGTGTTATAGACATGTTGCAAAATCAGATGGCATGTCCAATACACCCCATTGCAGAGACCAAATACTCTTCGAAGCGAAGCCAAAACAAAAAAACAAACCCTTTGGAATGGGGGGGCTCCAGGCAAGAGTCTCTGAATATTGTTGTTTTTTTGTTTGGATTTCTTTGTTTTTTTGGTTTTGCTGTTTTTCCTTTTTTCCTTCGTTCCAGCCTGTTGCACGGTTCGGCCTACCGGATTCGCAGGGACCATTGTCATACTCTGCTACCCAGACCCCAAGCCATCTAGGACTTGCAAAAGGTGATATTCTACTACGCGGTTCGGTCTACCGGATTCGCAAGGACCAATCGTCATACTCTGCTCACAGGACCTCAAGCCATCTAGGACTTCCAAAATTATATTATACTAACACCGAGTGCCTTATCTGGAACAACCACGTTCTACTTACATTTTTACAACAACCTTTTTTCTGAAACTGTCATACCATGGCCTTCGACTTCACAACTAGTAACTATTTGCCTACGGGCTACCATCCTCACTTGTAAAAATTCTTGCTCGATTTCTTCTGCACCTTTGCCTGCTGACTCGGTTTCTTGGCGTGGGGGTGAGGATACGCGGGATGCTCTTCATCAGTGCTATCGTGATTCTTTTTCGCCAAGTACGCAATCATGAATTTGTGCCTATTCTCTCTCATGTCGTCGAGGCTGGAGTTGTAGTTCTTGAGCCAACTGAATGTTTGCTCGCAAATACCTCTGTTGAGATGCATGTTGCTATGGTATATTCAACATTGTTAACATTTTATATGTATATATGTATGTATGTATGTATGTATGTATGTATGAATGTATGAATATGTATGTATGTATATGTATGTACGTATATGTATGTATGTGTATGTATGTATGTATGTATGCATGTATGTATGTATATGTATGTATGAATATGTATGTATGTATATGTATGTACGTATATGTATGTATGTATATGTATGTATGTATGTATGCTTGTATGTATGTATGTATGTATGTATGTATGTCTATGTATGCATGTATATGTATATGTATGTATGTGTATGTATGTGTATGTATGTGTGTGTATGTATGTGTATGTATGTGTGTGTATGTGTATGTATGTGTATGTATGTATGTGTATGTATGTGTATGTATGTGTATGTGTATGTATGTGTATGTATGTGTATGTATGTGTATGTATGTGTATGTATGTGTGTATGTGTATGTATGTGTATGTATGTGTATGTATGTGTATGTATGTGTATGTATGTGTATGTATGTGTATGTATGTGTATGTATGTGTATGTATGTGTATGTATGTGTATGTATGTATGTGTATGTATGTGTATGTATGTGTATGTGTATGTATGTGTATGTATGTGTACGTATGTGTATGTATGTAATGTAATGTAATGTAGTGTAGTGTAGTGTAGGGTAGGGTAGCGTAGCGTAGCGTAGTGTAATGTATGATGTAGTGTAATGCATGTATGTATGTATGTATGTATGTATGTATGTATAAATATTTTGATTATATTTGTATATTATATTAGGTATTGCAATGTATTGCAGTATGTATAACATATGTATATATATAATTATACGATAGTAAGATCAATGGATATTAAATGATATTATATATATATTCATTTTTCTGAACACCATCATCAAATACCGCGCGTCATCTGGATCTGCAGCTGTCAATACTGTATACTAGTATACAATTGCATATATTCATGTCATGTGCCCCATAGGTTGGGTCCTTCGTCCATTGGCCCCATAGGCGGTTCCGTTCAATCTCAAGCCTCCTTTGCAAGTTACCTTCCATGAATACCGAAACCTCCTGACGACAGAGAGTTCCATTGGGGGCGAGCAGACAAAAGAACCTATATAATATACATGATCTCACTGCAACATCCTGCTTGTACATATTTGTTCCGGGGAAGGAGAGGTACCATACTATTGGGGGGGTGCGGCTCCCGAACCGGGAACTGGGAGCATAAACTGGGAACATATATATTGTGCGGAATCATACATATAACATCATATAACATCATATAACATCATATAACATCATATCACGTCATATAACATCATATAATGACAATCATGCCCTCCAGTCCTGTCTTGTCTGCCTTTTTGCATCCTGTACTTTTCGGTCGCAGTCTTCCTGCAGAAACATATTTGAAGAAGGCATGTCCAGCAATTGCAACTGAATTCAATATTGAACTATCATTGTGACAAGTGATTCCAATCATGAGTGTGTCCTGCATCTCTTGCCTCATCCTAGCAATGTCCGAAAGATATTCCTGTCGCATCTTGCTCTTTTCAGCCTCTCAACGTCTAAAAAGTCCTGACAAGCAACATCGAACAGGAAAACTATGCAACAAAGAAAATGGCCTGGTGGGAGATTGTGAGATTCTGGTGCTGTCTGTTGAGTTGATCCTGACAATGACCATGACAGAGGATAATGCAATAATATATAGTATTATACTATATAATAATATATAATATAGACTATTATATCATTATATATCTAACATATATAGTAATATAATACTACAAAATATAATATATAACTATCTAATACTATATATATGTATACAGTATATACATATCTAATATAACCCAGAAGTACTCAAACAATGCTCAAATAATTGAAAGGGTCAGCCTCTGATCGCTGTAGCTGTGCCTCACAAAGGCACAAAGGACAAAAGATAATATCCGGTCTCACAAACAGCATCAGAATGACATGCACGAAAAGAGAACAGCCAAGCTATCTTCCATTAACTGTCAATGCAATCGAGTTCTTGTTTGCTGGCTAC